GGGATTTTTCTTTCTTATAATTGGAAGAAAAAGTATGCTGTTCTATATCTCCAGATATGTAGTAACTTTTGTTTGCATTGTATTATTTGGTCTACATACCGGAATTGATAACATTCGAGAATATTTAGAACAACAGAAGAACCAAGCAGATTTCAGAAAAAAAAAATTGGGAATGCATTTCTAATCTGAGAAAAAAAGCATGGTATAGTCCTTTGTTGAAACAACAAAACTTTTGCCTGAGTTGTGGATTGCTGTGAATGAATTGAACTGTAAAAGATTAAGTATAGATCCAAAGACATTAGTGATGATTGATAAATAGTTCTGCATTTAACAATCATGTTGTTTAGTACCTAAACTGACTGTCTAACCACCCTTGGTGTGGTTTGTTTCTTGGCTTTTATCAGTCATGTTCTTTTTAGATATTGCATGATATTATGTCTAATGATTTTATTTTTCTTGATTTATACACTTTAGAATATAAAAAGTTATCATATCAACTCTGATGATGTTTTTCCTTTGTCTGTAATGCAGAATTTCTGGAGCATTATTGCCATGTCACGTCCATACAATGTAACCACCAAAGCCACCATATATATATATATATATATATATATTGAAAGGTAAAGACACCCATATATTGCTTATCACTCACTTTTTAGTTTTACCATCCTATTTCAGATACTTGTTTCAGGGCTTAATGGGTGGGTTGAAATTGAAATTAAATCCGTACTCGAGCGGCATAAAACCGGGTCAGGTGTAACAAGTTGCCAATTTTTTTTTATAAAGAACCCTTTTCATAGCTAAGATCTGGGAAATCCCTATACAGCCATTTGAGTTTGGGTCAACTTAGATCCGACCCTTTTTGTATGGGTTGACCCGTTGAAACCTGAACTTTTTTTCCCTCCTCATTCAAGTCTTAATGCCTTTAAAACATATTATTGACTAATAGTTAAGTAAAAAACCAATAAATTGTTCTAAATCTTGGTTAAACTTCATTACAGATTGTGGTACAATGTGTACGACAGATCTTTTGTCAAATCTGTGTGTTGCAAAAGCACGTGAGAGGCATGCCCTATCCTACCAAGAAGGAACCAAAAAGAAAAAAAAAATAAAAAAAAATAAAAATTGTAGTTTAGTCCTAGCTAAGTTTCCAAATGGATGAGTACCTGTATGAATGTATGTGTGTATGCAGTTTCACATGAAAGGAAAAATCCATCTTTTGCTAGCTGTTTGGCAAATATAACATGGTGGGACCAGTACAGCACCAAAAAATGAGTCATCCTATGGTCTTGTGTGGAGAAAAATTGGTCCCTTTCTAATTGTAGTCTCTTTCTATTGTGTTCTCTCTTTTCTTCCCTTTTTTCTTATCCTTTTGCATCACCCTTTTATTCCTTTCTGTTCACAATCTGACCAAAATGCCATTGGATTACTAGATGTGCAAGAGCAATGTGCCATCATGGTCTACATTGCAATGCCCTGCTGAATAGATACCCTAATTGAGGTGGGACTTTTAGAAATACAGAATGCATGTATATATGGATCTATTTATTTTCGTATTAAGAATATCTGTAATTATGAGTAAACGCATATACACTCGTTATACTGTTCACGGTAAGGTTCGAATACACAACATCATCTTTGTAAAGGAGAGATCATACCATCTTGACTAACGACCGTTGATTTCTGTGCAGGGTTATTGTATGATGCAAGTAGAAAAGTTTGGACTATCAAATTTGAGGTGCGAGTTTGATTTAAAGTACTACTTTGTGCACATAATAACAAGGTATGTATTGGTTTTACCACCCTCAACACTTGTTGGTGGTGAGACCTACACTATACAACATTTGCTGTTAATATGAGTAAAAAATATGGGTTTTTGTTGGCCTATTTTTCTTTCATCATGCAAAATAACAAAAGTTAGGAGAAGAGATTGGATTGGGCCCATTGAAAAAGTAGCAGCTATGGATGATTGAAAATTTAATGCTTACAAGTGGATCAATTTGAGGTGGGCCAAGAACAAGAGGCCCTTTTTTTTTTAGCCTTTTTAGGAGAAATATATTTCCATCATTTTCTGCATATTGCAGCGTAATCTCTGCCCCAGCGTCAATATCAACAATGCTAGGGTCCGGACTTTTGTCAATATTAACAATGTTAGGGGTTCCGGACACCCGACACCAACTATGAGAGAGAAGGAAGGTGTATGGCCTCATAGGCAGATTTTTTTTTTTTCATCGGTAAGAAACCCACACACTCATTTGTCCGTAAAGAGACTAAAACATTCATCATCCCTTGAAAGGTAGAAGAGATACCATTACGCTACACAACCACTGGTCTCCATTGGCATTTGATATGCAGATATATGTATGAAAAAATTAAGTGTGCTTTCAAGTGAGCTCGTAAATTTAACCCTCTGATCAGTTGTTTTTAAGTGAGCTCGTGCATTTAACCGTTTGATCAGTTGTTGGAATGTGATATTATCTATCCAACGGCTAAAGATGCAAATTCCTTGCGACTGATAGAGGCTAAAGATGTAAATTCCTGGTGGCTGATAGAGTCTCTGTCTGCCCCCATATGCACACACAAACACACTTTTTAAGCACTGTTTGGATGGTAAAGTAAACCCCCAAATCAAGGGAAATAAATAATCTTTGCAGCTTTAAATGACTATTGTTTACTGGTTAGGGTCAAGATCATGGTTGGTTTATATGTCCACTGGCTTTCTGCTCCTTAAAAACAATACTGGAATTGGAATATGAAAAAGAGAAATGCATATATAAAAATTACAGTATTATTATTTTGTACTTTGTGGTTATATAATAATGTATTCTATGATAAAGGATGGAAATATTTCTACACTGACACAGTGCCTACACACCTCTATCTAGGTTCTGTGTGGTCAGGTTGCACTATTTGGGCAAATTACTAGATTATCTTATATGTAAATATGTGTTGTTGATAATTTGTCATTCTCTCACTGTTTGATTGTTTATTTTAAGGAAACAAGAAGACTAAAAAAAGAGAAGAGAAAAGAATGGGAAAGAAAATATGGGTATTTTTTTTTTTAACACAGGAATTGACTGTTAAGAAAGGGAAGTAGTATTAGAATGATAGCTTATTGGGTAGTCCAATAATTTTGAATGATTTTATGTAACGGGGTGGTGGATCTCACCACTAATATGAGACACTTTACTAACTCACATCAAATCAATCAGAAATTTTGTCAGGATTGACCGGAGTACTTCAAATCACCCAACTGTTGAGATGAATTTTTTTTAATGACTTTCTCGTTATTGATTGATTTTAAATTTTTTTTTTCTTTTTATTAAACAAATGAAATTGTGAAAAATGGGAGACTTAAATTTTTTTATAGTTTTTTTCATTCTCCTGCCTAACTCCGCGAAGCAAATGTAAGATTAGATTATATTTAATTGGGACATCATTTTCAGTGTTATTATCATCAACATCTTCCTCAAGTTGTCACTTTCCGGCAAGGCTGAAAAAAATGGTTTAGGTGTGCTATTTCATAATCTTGATTGAACGCATGGTGTCTTCATTTCGTCAAAGTCTCTTCATTGACACTGATTGACGTCTCGTTGAAATTTCAAAATTGCTTGTATTATTGGCAACGTAAATTAGATAAACTAGAGTTTTGAGTTTTAGCATATATTTATTTAAATATACGTACTTACAATATTGATTTTCACAGCGCTACACTCAACCTCTTATTTAAAGACTATACTATAAAAACTAATAGGTATGGATTGTTTTAAAAGTTGTTGATTTGTTTAGATTTTAGTTAACTTGACTTCACAGATACTTAGTATTACAAGAGTATATTAAAATTTTATTAAGCTCGATCATATTTGATATGTTTTAATTGGTGGGAGTGTTGGTTATTTTAAAAAGAATTGGATTATTTATACCCATAAAGTGACAGAAGACATGTGGGGTTAAATGACCAATTTATTATGTAAATGGAATGGAAAAAGGCCATTTTTATTTAATATATACGGAGTGTATATATATATATATAGATTTAATATGACATAAATAATAGAAGGAAAGTGGAAGGGAAAAAGATGTGCATGTGAGGTGGGTGTGGTTGGATCCTTTGAGACTGGGAGGGAAAGGTGGAGGGAAAAACCCTTTCAACATTTTCTCTTCCACTTTCATTCTTTTCTTACTTTCTTTCCTTCAAAAGTAACCAACCCTTTATTAAGTGCACAACAAAATCAAAGCAATAGAAATACCATCGATTGTACATAACACAATCCAGTGTGTACCTCACTAAACCGCTTTCTATGGTTAGTTTATTGGCACAAGTGAGTAACTAATTGTGCATTCATTAAACCCAAACACCTTTTTGACCAAATGCTAGGAATATGCCCTCCTTTGAGGTAAAAGGCAAAGTGAAAGATATATACACATATATGTATGAATGTAATATATATATATATATATATATATAGTTTAAATGAAGTCCATATCCTGATCATTAAAGTCGAAATAAAGTAATATATGATTAAGTTTGAGATTTAATTTAAGATATATTTGTGATTGTAAGATGATTGCGAATATATTTACGTATTTAATTGAAATAGTTTTAAATATGTAAAAATATTATACATATATAATATTAATTAAAAATATATATTTTTTAAAAAACTAATATACCCTACCAAAAAGGAAAGAAAAAACAGGTATGAGCCCATGTTACTTGAAGTATTGGACTCGCTAATATCACTGTGGGCCCATGCAATTTTGTCGAGATGGATCATTATCTTCCCACACCCCTACCCTCCTCCATCTCACAAATTCACACCCAACGAACCAGACTAAAAACAAAAACAAAAAGCACCCAATAAAGTGTTTAATTTACTATATATATCATTTTAAAATTTAAACTAGAATAATTACAAAAAAAAAAAAAAAAAAAAAATCAACAGTAAAATAGATACTGTATTATTTTTAGCTTAATTAATTCTTATACATAGTAAGTGAGCGAGTAGAGTGAAGATTTGAGTCAACACCGATGGAACATCAACAGTACAGAGAGCGACTATAAGCTCAGCCCTCTCTCTCCTTTTCCTCCTCTCTCTTTCTCTCTCTAAACCGCTTAAACAGGGCGCCAGCAGCAGAAAAACGCGCCACCATCACCACCGACCTTATTTATCATTTTCTCTCTAAAAATACGCCGGCATGGGCTGCGCGGCGTCGAAGCTGGACAACGAGGACACGGTGAGGCGGTGCAAGGAGCGGCGCCGTCTAATGAAGGAGGCCGTCTACGCGCGCCACCACCTCGCCGCCGCCCACTCCGACTACTGCCGCTCCCTCCGCGTAACCGGCACCGCCCTCTCCGTGTTCGCCGCCGGCGAACCCCTCTCCGTCTCTGACCAGACCCCCGCCGTCCTCCTCCGCACCCCCTCCTCCCTCTCCCGCTCCTCCACCATCAACCCCCCTCCGCCGCGAGTCCCCTCTCCCTCCCCCTCCCTCCGCCATCCACCACCACCACCTCCTCTCTTCTCTCCGTCGCCGTCCCCGTCCCCGTCCCCCACCATCCATAGCTCCAAACTCCCTCACATCCTATCCGCCTCCAATCTCCCGACCTCTCGCCGCCGGAAACCAGTGAAACTCCCACACATTCTCTCCGAATCGAGCCCTTCTTCGTCTCCACAGAGCCACAACCCCTACAGATCGAATAATTATACAGAAAACTTTACATACAACGCAAATTCAACATTCTCTGCCACTCCTTCTCAAACCTCATCGGTCTGGAACTGGGAAGAATTCTACCCTCCGTCACCACCCGATTCCGAGTTCTTCCAACAACGGAACAACATTGACAACGACAAGGCCTCGAACTACAGCTACCAAAATCAACCCAAACACCACCACATCGACGACGACAAGGTCTCGAATTTCAGCTACCAAAATCAACCCAAACACCACCACATCGACGACGACAAGGTCTCGAATTTTAGCTACCAAAATCAACCCAAACACCACCACATCGACGACGACAAGGTCTCGAATTTCAGCTACCAAAATCAACCTAAACACCACCACATCGACGACGACAAGGCCTCGAATTTCAACTACCAAAATCAACACAAACACCACATGGACGATGACAAGGTCTCGAACTACAGCTACCGAACTCAACACAAACACCACCACATCGACGCAGATGATGAAGTTGAAGAGACGGATAGAGAAGAGGTTCAGTGCAGCGAATGGGACGACCACTACAGCACGACTAGCTCCTCCGACGAAGAGGAGGACAAGGAGTCCAGATCCGAGATCGGGACACGGTCGAATTTCGGATCCTCCGTGCACAACGAATCGAAGGCGGTGCCGCCACCGGCGTCAAAATATTCGACGATGAGCAAATCGGATAAATCTGACGACGCCGGATCTTCGGTGAGCTGGAACGCCGGTAACGGCGGGATTTCCGACATGAAGATTGTGGTGAGGCACCGAGATCTGGCGGAGATTGTAGCCGCGATCAAAGAGAACTTCGATAATGCTGCTTCGGCCGGCGAAAAGGTCTCGGAGATGCTCGAGGCCAGCCGAGCTCAGCTCGATCGTAGTTTCAGACAATTGAAGAGTGAGTTTTTAGGGCTTTTCGAATCAAAATTGATTATAATTTTTTCAATTTTTACACTCAATTTTACTTTCTCTGATTGAAATTAATTCAACATTTTGATAAACTTCATGAATTAGGTCAACATTTTGTGATTGTTAGGGTTTTGATTTTGTGTTTTTGTTTGAATGTTGCAGAGACTGTGTATCATTCGAGTGGAGTGTTGAGTAACTTGAGCTCGAGCTGGACTTCCAAACCGCCATTGGCCGTTAAGTACCGGTTCGAACCCGGTCCAATGGATGAACCGGGCGGTTCGAAGAGTCTCTGTTCCACTTTGGAACGGCTCTTGGCTTGGGAGAAAAAACTCTATCAAGAAGTAAAGGTACTTATCGATTCTAATCTCTCTTAATTAATTAAAATTATCATCTTAATGTATTCCAATTTCCTTGAAATAATTATTAAAAATTATAAGTTTGTTACCAAAAGTTGATTTTAAGATAAAGTTTTCATTTATTATATTATTAAATTCAAACTTTAGGACAAAAGATTAGGCAAAAAGGACAGATGTGCCCCCCACGGTTAATAGCGTTGGTCCACCGCAATATTTGACAATGACATAAAGGACCTTTTTCGGTGGACTTTGTTTTTGTTTTTTCTTTTTTAGTTGGACAAAAGTACCCCTCGAATGGTGGAAAATTCAGTTGCCTAAAAATGACATTTTGTCACTCTGGCTATTTTATTGATTTGGATAGTTACCATTGTCCATTGTCCTAGCAAGAGTATATTTTTAACTGTGTTTATAGGTGGGTTATTTGGTTTGGTGGTGTGTTGAATGACTGAAATGCCCCTAATAACTGTTAGTCTGACAATGGAAACCACCTGTACTGATCTTTTTTACCTTGTTAAGATTGGAACATGCAGGTGGGTTACCACTTGCCCAGTATTTGCCTGCCCAACTCAGTCAATTTTTGTATGATGCTTCCCCTCACCAGACAATTTTTTACTGGTATTTCTAAACCCCTTTTGTGGTTAATGTGGCAGGTGTGTACTTGCTTGTAACCATTAGATGCTCCATTTTTGGTGTAATGTTTGGGATTATATTGGTACCAATAAACCTGGCAGTCCTCTCATACATTTTGGTGAAAATTTCAATAACTTCATAAAGGTGCTAATTTTTTGTCATCTCCAATTGCCGAAAACTTCAGCATTTTCTAAGTTGAGTATAATAGGCCAGATCCTATAAGACCTTTAGTTGATGGAGTTGATCATTTAAAAACGTTGGACCAAGGGGATTAGAGATTATTCTATATTTTATACCCTTCATCCAAAGCCCACCAATATATATATGTATGTATCTATATGCATCTGAGTTTTTATTTGTTACTGTTATTTATGTTTATGACAAGCAGATTAGTAAAACAAGGTTGCTTTGCAAATTTAGGAGCAAAACATAAAAGGGTCATATGCTTTGCAATTCACTTTTTGCGGGCACTGGAAACCTTTTCTTCATGGTTATGCTTTCCATAGCTATAATAAAGTGAAAATATTTTGTAACAGTGCAACTTTTGAATGAAGTACTATTATGGTACCAACTGGTAATAATGGAGCTTCCTGTAATTGAAAATGAGTTTGTGCTGTTGCAGTTGACTTTGTATTGAGTGTTGGTTTGTGGTTGATGAATGTTAATGTGGGCATTGAATTGATAATAATTGTAGGTTCGAGAAGGTGTGAAAATTGAGCATGAAAAGAAGCTGTCAACCCTGCAGAGTCAGGAGTACAGAGGGGACGAGCAAGCAAAGTTGGACAAGACAAAGACCTCAATACAGAGTCTGCAGTCATTAATTTTGGTCACATCTCAGGCTGTCTCTACCACCTCCTCCGCCATCAGTGGTCTAAGAGATGCTGAACTTGTCCCGCAGCTTGTAGAACTTTGCCATGGGTAAGTGATTTCTTGTTTCATTTATCTGAAACTGGAGAACTTGTTGCGTGCACCCAGTTTATGATAACAAATTGTACTAGAATGAATTCATTGCAGAAATTCGATGGTGTGTAGTCATGTCTATCAAATATTTCTACCACACAGTATCTCAAAAACTGTTGATCTCTAGGCAACTCCAAAAACTTTTCCCCAGCCATAGTTTTTATTTCAATTAGAACCAGGTTTTTTTGGCCAAAAACAATTAGCTCATTTGATATATTATCAATATTAATTCTTGAATTCTTCCCGAATTTGATAGAGTAATCAGAAATCTGCTTTCCCAAAATGATTGAAATTGATTCTGATGTTCCTGGATTCCGTATATTTTTTTTTAATTGAACAAATTTCTAATTTCAAGGGCAAGTTTCTCTTGCCCGAGTTCAAATTCAATCTTGCTTCAATATTTTTGAGCTCATGTCTTGAGGTTTAAAACCACCTCAGTGACATGCTTTTAGGAAGTTACTTAAATATTTCCGGGCATGTTCATCCTCTGCATCAAAGATAGGTATTAGTGAAATTTATTATATTTCCTTTACATATGATTAGTGTTATTAGAGATATTAGAACTAAGCATGGGGCATAATCTGTGAACATTTAGTTGCAAGCTTCATATTCTCTAATGTGAAACATGCTAGCATAGATCATAGGCTGGTTCCAGTGGTTAGGTGAAAAATTATGATGCTCTGTTCTGTATGTTACATGCATGTTGCTTTGTGCTTCTGTAATTAGAAATGCCTGTTGTCCTCATCTTCTGGCTGTCTCTTCAAAACAGGCTGGGCCCCCAACCTGATCGTTCTTTTCTACTTTGTTCAATGAACTTCTTTGGTGCCTATTGACCTTAAGTTATGAAGAAAGCTATTGGTTGTTGGAGAGTTAGGTACATTTGCTTTAACTGTAGTAGGACCCACCATTATGCTGTTCTTGCTGGATGTGGTTCTTAGTAAGAGCAATATTGTCATACACATAATTGTTATTAATAGTGCCAGTGCCAGCAGAGCATGATTGAGGATGTCCAAAAAAAAATAACAGTTTGGCCGCTCATTAATGAATGGGCCTTTCTTACCCATATTGAAGTTGGCTGGCTGATGGGTTACAAAATTAAAATCTACTAGTCCAACTCATTGCATAACTTATGGTCAATAAGTCACCAAAGAAGTTCATCGAACAAGGTCAAAAAGAACGATCAGGTTGGGGCCCCAGCCTGTTTTGAAGAGGCCGCCAGTAGATGAGGACAACAAGCATTTCTAATTACAGAAGCACAAAGCAACTTGCATGGAACATAGAGAACAGAACATCATATTTTGTCACCTAACTACTGGAACCAGCGAGCATTTTTACATTAGAGAAGATGAAGCTTTCAACTAAATGTTCACAGATTATACCCCACACTTAGTTATGATCTCTCTAATTCCACTAATCATATGTAAATAAATTTCACTAATACTTCTTTCTGATGCAGAGGATGAACATGTCTGGAAGTAATGTTATACGCATAATTGTTATTAATAGTGCCAGGGCCAGCAGCATGATTGAGGATGTCCAACAAAAATAAGAGTTTGGCTGCTTGTTAATGAATAGGCCTTTCTTAACCATACTGAAGTTGGCTGACTGATGCTGCAAGTCCAACTCATTGGTCAAGAGACTCTGCACAGTAAATCTGACTTGAACCCTCACCCTCCCGTATGATGGGGATGAGAAGATACCACTTGAGCTAAAGGGTCGATAAGTACAGCCTGAACTTTAGGCCTTTTTGTTTTTAGGGTTTTATTTTCGAAAGAACATATTGGTGATATGACTGTAGATAAATTAGATTTATTGAACACAAATTGTGCAGCCAAAAAGCTCACAAATTTTGTTGATGGTGCTAATATTTTAGGTCAGATAAGCAGTCCCTTAACAAGCCTTCTACAATGCTCATGTCCAATTGGACCAAGTAGTTTGTCTTGAAAAATGAATCCCCTTGGTAGAAATCCTTGTGTTTTTCATGACAAGAATCCTGTTGCACAATTTCATAGTAGAGCTGCCATCTTTTAATCAGATTAGCAAATAAAATATTCTTACATTCAGATGATGCAAATTTTTTCATAACAATTCTCTTAATATTATAAGTGTGCTTTTATTGATCAATGGATGATGAGGGTAGCATGCAACTTGAAATTCAAGCCAAGTTTGTATTGATGAAAATGCATGCAGATTCATGTACATGTGGAGATCAATGAACCAGTTCCATGAAGTCCAGTACCACATTGTGCAGCAAGTGCGGGGCCTAGTCAACCGATCATCCAATAGTGAATCAACAACCGATCTGCATCGGCAAGCAACACGTGACCTTGAGGCAGCCGTCTCTGCCTGGCACTCCAGTTTCTGCCGCACAATAAAGTTCCAACGGGACTTCATCCAGTCACTCCATGGTTGGTTCAAGCTCACCTTTATACCTGTCAACAATGAACCTTCCATTGGCAACAAGGAACCTTCCGAGGTATATGCCTTCTGTGATGAGTGGAAGCTTGCCCTTGACCGTCTCCCTGACACAGTTGCTTCCGAAGCCATCAAGAGTTTCATCAATGTTGTCCATTCAATAACTCTGAAACAAACAGAGGAGCTCAAGATTAAAAAGCGAACTGAATCTGCATCAAAAGAGCTTGAGAAAAAATCCTCATCTCTTCGGAACATAGAAAAGAAGTATTACCACTCATACTCTATGGTTGGTATTAGCCTTCCTGATACTGGACCTGATAATGGGCATGCATTGGATGCAAGGGACCCCCTTGCTGAGAAAAAGTCCGAGCTCGCAGCTAGCCGAAGGCGAGTGGAAGATGAGATGCTGAGGCACTCCAAGGCGGTAGAAGTAACGAGAGCAATGACACTGAATAACATTCAGACAGGCTTGCCGGGAGTTTTTCAGGCTATGACCAGTTTTTCTGCCTTAATTATGGAGGCCCTCGAGGTAGTATGCACCCGTTCCTATGCTATTAAGTAGATAAACACAAGTGTATTTCTAATACTTATATTATTTTTCTTTTTGGGTTTTGAGGTCAGTTGGAATTAGTAAGGGCTGGGATTTTTGACTGGTGGGCTCCCTTTTTTCTTTTTTCTTTTGTTTTTTTTAATTTGTTTTTGGGTATGTAGATAATATGGAATTTTGTGATTTTTATCATCCTTTTTCTTGGTTGGAAGAGGGGAATGAAATGTCAGTGTACATGAAATTTGCTTGCATTGTTGTATCAGAGGTTCACTTTTGAGCAGATGAATAAATGTATGGCTTTCTGCTTTTCTTCTGAGCTGTAATTGCTTTCTCTTCATCAGCTTCTCCTTCTAATTGTATACTATTGGTTTTTTTTTTTTTAATAGAATTCTGAATTCTTTAGATAAAATAATTTCCATGAGCTCAAATTAACCAGCAGATATAATTTATGGCTCACCTTGTGTGGGGTGATTTTGAACTGCATTGCCTTTGTCATAGTTCAACTAACTTGGAATCAATATGGTTGAAGGTTCAACAACCCAACCTTAATTCTACCTTAAAAATAAAAAGGCTAGTCTAGGGCACGAGACTTCTGTCATTACGGATCTATGGACATATCTTTATTTTCAAGTTTGGAGAGGTAATTTTTCATTGACCTCCATATTACAGTGGAGTAATTTTACTGAACGCAACCTTACCATAGTGTTATTTCACCGTCAGAAAGTTATCTATAATTACTCATCTTTATGGTGGTTGGTGGTTGAGGACTTGAGGTCATGAGTTCGAAACGAAAAATAGTCTCTTGTAATGTACTGATGAAGAGATAAGATCGTGTATTTATGACCCTCTCTAGATACTGCATTGACGAAACTCTGTGCACTATACTAATCCTTTCTAATACCGCTATTCATGTTTTCCAAAGCATTTTTAGTTAAAAGATAGAAAATAACATAGAGAACAGTTGTTATTTTATATTTTCTCTTATAAAAAACAGAACATCAAATTAAATTAGCCAAAGTCATCACACCAGTAGTTTTTTGTTAATCTGAAAACAGCCCATTGCTTATTTTATATTTTCTCTTATAAAAAACAGAACATCAAATTAAATTACCCAAAGGTCATCACACCAGTATTTTTTTGTTAATCTGACACAACCATTTTGGTTAATATGGTCAGACTGTCAGATCACTTTCAGTTTTAAAACTGTGGCCCATAGACCTCGCCTACAAAACAGGAGTCTGCACAACATTGCAAAGATACGAGTCATATGACCATAGGTTCTTATTTCTTTTTTAATTAAAATTTGACCTAAGAATTTAATTTTAATTTATGAGTTAAACAGAAGTTAATTTTTTAACACTTTACCCTAATCTTGGATCTGAAGCCTTTATGTTCATTTGTCTTCTAGCTTGCAGTTAAAAAAATTATAAACTACAAGGTAAAGTGCAAAAAACCCCTCAACTATGTCTAAATTTGCAAATAACCCCCCTAACTATGTTTTGTGCATAAAACCCCCTAAACTATTACATTTAGTTACAAAATGCCCCATTGTCTTACCTATTTTTCATTAAATGACCATAATACCATTTTTATTGAATTACACTTGATATATTTTTCTTGTTAAAATAAATTATGAAAAAAAATTCATACTAATTTGATGAAATATTCTCCATTAAATTTGCATAAGTTTGCCTTTAATTTTTTTAATTAAATATTTAAATAAAAATCTTAAATAGAAAATTTTGAAACAATTTAAATAATTTCCTAATTTTCATGAATATATTGCATTAAAAAGAAGATATATTTCTTTTTACGTAATTTATTAATTTTTCATGAATATTGTTTGAAAAAGAAGATATTTTTTTATACTAAATTTTTTTAAAGTGAGTATAATAAGTTAATCATTTTAGAAAATGATGGCTATAAATTTATTTATTTTTTTCCATTTTTATAATCAATTGATACTAATTATAAAATTAAGGTAAATGGTATAATTAATATTCAAATAAGAGAAAATATAATAAAAAATAATTTAATAAGAAATGACAAATTTAATAACAAAGGGTAAAATAGTCTTTTGCAATGGCTTTGTTCTTAATTGCAACAAATCAATAGTTTAGAGGGGCAATCTTTAGTTCAGGGGCGTTAGTTTCAAAAAGCCAATAGTTTAGGGAGGTTTTTTGCACTTTACCCTAAACTAAACTTACTTGTATCTAATTTAAAAATGACTTCATTTGTTACGGGAATTTGTACGTGAGAACTCATATTTGTGTTTGAGAACAATTAATTTGTGCAAATAAAATCTCGGGTTAATTTCGTACTTAATTTTTCGGTGTATCAAGGACTAATGATAAAAATAATGAAACTATTTCTCTCGTCCTTTTTGTTTTATTCCCATATGTATTTTTAAAATTTCTTAAATTATTTTTCCGAATTCAGTGAATACCCTAAAATATATACTTGGATGGAATTTGGCTTTGGTCAGGTCATTATATCATGTTTTTTATTATAAAAATTAATAAGGGTGTGTCTGGGGCTTCAATGGGGACTGTTTACAACCAATTAGAATAAAACCTCGTTTTTGATACTTCACAAGGCAACAGGATCAAGTCACCTTGTCTAAGGGATGGGCGGTTGCCCGTTTACCCAAAGGTTGTTAGGTAGTGTTGCATACCTATCCATTTATACCCAATTACTTTCTCATTTGGATCCGATATGGGACAAATGACTCTTATTACATTCTCCCTTACCCAAACCGCAACGCCCTCGTTACGGCTCAGACAACCCTACCTACCCGAGCCACAAACCCCGGACGTCCTCCCGCTCGGGCGCTTGGTCTGACACCGGATCAAGGATTGGATTTGACTTTGATACCAACTGTAACGGGTGAATGCTTGTCCAATTACTTAAAAACTTAAATTTTTGGATGATACTACATATTAATTCATTTACCCTCATTTATTTTTTTATTCGAATTCGATAGGAAAAAAAATGACCATTTTTACACCTTGCCACCGGCTGGGCTAAAACAATTGAATTAGTTAATGTCATCATACCATGTTGATTGCTTTAAAAAATGATTATATTTGATAGATGATGATAAGAATGGGATGGTTGATGAGTTGTTGTCATGACAAGACCTAAAAAGGCCATGTGGGATTCAGACTTTGAGATAAATCACAGAATGGTGATTGATTCGTTCAAGTAGATAAATATTTGATGATAGATAGGGAATGGACAATTTAATTGTATGATGAGTAAATTGTTATCTTATGACAAAGCCATAAAAGTGTACATGACATGATACAAAAAAAAACAAAGAAAAAAAGGTGGAATGTGCTCATGCATGCAGCAGTAAATGAAGAAAGTTGAATTGAGTGGAACAGAGGGGACCAAATAATGACTGGTGAGAAAATGAAGTGTTGTGAGCCTTTATAATATTTTTCTTATTAGTTTAAATATTGAGGAAAATACCATCCAAAATAAGGACAAAGCAACCTAAATTGTAGTGATGAAAACTGATATAAAAGAGAAAAAGAAAAAAGAGAGAGAGAGAGAGAGAGAGAGAGAGAGAGAGAGAGGGAAAAAGAAAAAAGAGTTTGTAAAGAAAAAATATAGTTCAAATTGTATAAAAAATAATAATAATAAAAAATTATTACTTTGATTCCACAAACTGGAACGAAGCACAATTATCAGGAACAAGAGTGTTTTGCTATCTTATTCAAAGAGGAGTTATTGAGTATGAGTTAGATTTACAAAATACTCCGTAATATGTGTGTGTGTATTTATATATATATTTGGCATATTAGCCGTGTAGAAGTTGATAGATTGTATAAGATTCTAAGAAAATAGAGAGTTTTGAAAATAGAGTGTCGTAGACAGTAGATATTAACCATTACCATGTCCGAGAGGGTGAAATAGGCGTAAGTGCGTAGTATGGATGGTTTTGAAGATTGAATATTTGATGCAATCCTACAATTGCCATATAGATTGTGTCGAAGATTAAGAGTTGACAAGTCATATGGGTTGTGTTGAAGATTAAAAGTTTAAAATCGTAATCAGAATCGTTAATTTTTGGATTAAAATTATATAAAAGTATTACAATATGTTTGTTATATTTTTTAAAAATATATGTTGTTTTATATATTATTACAAGCATGCCTATTATGAGCAGATCATTTTTTTTGAGCTGGGAGAGCACCATCATCTTATAATTCAAACAATTAGGATAAAACAAATTAAATAAACAAATTAAAGAAACTAATGCGAGAAGGCAAAGGGAAAAGAGAGAAACGAGTCGATAAAAGAAATTGCTGGTGCTTAACATCTTTTTCTCTCTTGAATTCATACAAATAATAAGTATATCTATAAATAAATATTGAATATAGCATTGATATTGATATGTTTACTAAAGACTACCACTATAATTTACTCTCCTTTTTTTTTATTTTATATTGGGATGAATAAAAAGTGTTAATGAATTTTGGTGGAATCACATTTAAGTATTTTAAACTCAGACTCTACTAATTATTAAGAGACTTATAAACAAGATTTTTTTTACAAAATAATAATAATAATAATAATAAATAGAGAGATCAGTCTAAATTTTTATTGTTAAAAGGTCAGGCTCCCACCACTGCGGGTTTAGATAGGTTTTGATGTACAAAGTCTAGATAGGGTTTGATGTACGTAATCTTAACTCTGTATGCAAAGAAGTTGCTGCCTATTTCGAATCTGTGACTGTGACCAGTGACCTCTAGGTCTAATTATAAATTCAAGATACAAATAAAAATTGGATTCTATGTTACCTCGATGAACATAAAGAAGCTTTAAACCACCATCACAGTGCATTTTTGCCAAAAAGAACCAGATTGCCAAAAATATTTTTCATAGAATGCATGTACCTACAAAAAATCCAGTGACATTATGATCTAACTGATTTATCTCCTCCGACCAATCGCAGATTCGAGGAATCCAGAGCAGAATGATCTGTGGGAGCAGTTTTTCTTCAAGGGATCAATTTACAAGGCTCAGTGGGATTCAATTCCGAAAAATATTTCTTGATTCCTGAAGCCCCTTCCTTTTTGGGGATCCAAGACGTGCTTCTCTTTTCAGTAGAATGTGCCCCTGTAACACCAGCCTCTTCTCTAGCTATGACCAAACCAAAGTGGTCCTTCTCAAGATAATGTGAAGTTCACAAGCTGTAATCAATAGGTTTTGTTTACCTGATTCTTCAATAAATAGGACCATATCCCAAAACAACTTTCAACCTCAATTAAAAGCCAAAAGATGATTATTAAAAAAAAAAAAAAAAAAAAACAAAGAAGGGAAATTTAAAATCCTCTGAGACCTCAAAAAATCCACAAAACTGTCCTCTGATTTCCTTCTAGACATAATTTATGTTAACAAATATACATATTTTGAAGCAACTTCACCAGAAAAGATTACCCATAAAAATCCCCTCTTTTATTTATTCTTTTTGTTTCTTACCATGTTTTTTTCAGCCATGCACAAATGCAATTAAAAAAAAAAATTCTACTGACTGTTATTCTTATACATGAATCCATATATAGCCCTCACAATTCGTAACATTCAATCGTTAACAGAAATATTATTATAAGGATAGTGCAGTGTCATTAACAAGTTCCCGCGAAATGAATAAATACTAGAAACAAAACAAAATGCCCAGTCGTCACAGAATTGACACCATGTTCCCTCCACAGGGAAAATAAAAGAAAAAATTAGTGAGGCAAAGAAAATTGATGTGTTACTTATTATAATTAGCCAAGCAACGTTTGTCTCATATTGTAGTTGTGCACTCATTGATGCAGATACTGTGCGTCAACAAGAACATGTTGAGTTTTTAACATTCTGTTGATCTCTAATGATCAAATTAATTTCAGAAGAATGTGATAACACTGGATAAAGACACAAAACTCTTTGTAATTTCATTTGATAACACTACCTCTAGCAAAAGAATAACTTGAGTTTTCTACATAACAAACCGTTTAGGATTTATCCATTTCGATTCTTTTGTCAAACCCATAATCAGAACCCATCAGGAACTGAGAATTCTAAGGTAATAAATTTCCAACTAAAACCAATTTTTTACTTTATGAGGTAGTGGGGTTGAAAAGCATTAGCAAAAACACGGTAATGCAGTCCAGCTCCTATGGGATTAACTAATGATACTAATACAATAGAAGTACAAGAAGCCTATAATCTAACATTAAAAGAACTCAAAGTCCAGATATTTACCCCCAGACTTCATGTCTGTTCCCATGATCCTTTTACTGTTGTTGCCAACCCCAACTGCGTCCACTGTCCCGTACTTTGCCGGAAGCTCAGCTTCCACTAGTCTTGGTACCTCTGGTGGTGTACTGCAACGTATCAGAGCCCAGTTTACACCTTCAAAGAAGGGGTGCTGCTTGATCTCAGTTGCACCCCTCTTAACTCCAAGCCGGTGCTGGGGCTCCTTCACAAGCAAGCCCCGGATCAGATCCCGGCTGGCATAACTGGTCGCTGGTGAGTCAGGGAATCTGAGCTGCTGCCCTACCACATTAAACAGTGTAGCACGGTTCCCTGAACCCTTGAATGGGGTTTTACCATATAGCAGTTCATGCAAGAAGATGCCAAATGTCCACCAATCAACGGCACTGCCATGGCCTTCACCCTTTATGATTTCAGGGGCTAAGTATTCATGGGTTCCAACAAAGGACATGGAACGGGCAGAAGTAGGCTCTGCAACTAGCTCAGGCAGCATATTGGCAGGCAGCCCAGGCTCAGCTCGAGGTTTTCGGGATTTTTTCTTGTTCTTTTGAGGAAAGATTCGGGGAATGAAGCATGCTGGCTGGATGCATACTGATGAGGGTTCAATACAGGCAGGCTGGACACAGAATGCACCTCCGCTTCCTCGTTTGGAGGGGTCATAGTCAAATGAGGAGGTTTTGATGAGGGTGGGTGAAACTGCACATCGTAGGGAAAGGTCAAAGTCAGATAGCATTATGTGGCCATCGTCACGTACCAGAACATTTTCTGGTTTCAGGTCCCTATACACAACTCCAAGCATATGGAGATACTCCAATGCCAACAAAACCTCTGCAGCATAAAACCTGTTTACATGAGGAAAGACATTAATTTATTACACTGATTTTCCAGAGAAAAAATAGAAGTGGGAAAAAAAATGAATTGAGAAAACAACATAAGAAGACAACAAATTCATTATCTCCTTTCTTTTCTTCTTTTTTTTTTCCTTTCCTTTGTCAGAAGCTTCTCCCATTATTAATTTAATTACTCGTTAAAGATCATCATCATCGCAACCAGCATTTAGAGTGAAACAGAATTATTAAATAGAAAGGAGAATACACAGCAGACAAATCATACAATTACCTACAACTGACTGGAATCAAAATCACAAGTCTCCTTGGTAGACCAGAGAGCCAGTTTCCTTGTACAGATACAATGAAACACATTTCCTAAACCACAGCCGGATATCAAAAAGAAATTTTACACCACAAGAACTGAACCAAGGTAGCATACTAATGTAAGCAGATGAGACAAGGTCACAGGCTGACATATTATCATGTGGTAAAAATGGTATGCCATTTTTGTTTGTATTTTTGTCTTCTCAAGGCCTTGTTTTCAATAATTCTTTATTCCATCCTAATTCCCAACGCTAGTTAGCCTACAAAATGCATGCTACATCAAGATTCACAATGCCAATAAATTGGTTCAGGGCAATCTTATGTCACAATATTTTTGGCAGCTACATTTTTTTTTTTAGCTGACTTCCACTAAATGAACCTGAACCATGGTCACTTCTTGAGTCCCCACTTCAGCTGCATATATCAAGATAAGAAACAAACCAATTCACCCCAAAAAGGAACATGTTGGTTTGCTTCGGCTCTCAGATTGGAGAAGCTGCTTCACTTCTCAGCCATTCAATACCAAGCATCCATTTTCTTACCCATGCCTTTGGTCCTGTTCTTCCAGTCCTATATATGCAGTAGGGAAAGACGAAGATGAGAACTGGAAAAATTATAAAACCACAGTGCTTTGACCCTTTATCCTTTGGCCATCCAGACTCAGCACAAATTCTATCAACCAATACATTATTTCTCACACTTAATCTTGTCAGCTGGTCCACCTAATAAATGAATCAACAAGGGAGAACCTAAGTTGAAGACGACATTAAAAATTACCAGAACAGGGGATCTATAGGTCAAAAATTAAAAAATGGATGAGAATACTAAAAGCTATTCAAAAATAAAAATACTATATGCAAGTGATTTGGTTAAAAGAGGCTTACACTGTGATATTATTCCACCAAAGAGAATATGATACCAAGCATGCAGTACTACCAACAATGGTAAATAAATAGATCATTTGACATACAGGTTTGCTTCTCTGATAGGGTTTGTTTAATAAACAGAACCAAGCTGACCTTGGTTGTTTATTCGTTAAAAAGACCCGAGACAGGACCAAAATCCACAGAGAATGAAGCAAACAGCTCACCGCGTCCAAATGCAAGGAACTGACCTCATTCATCAAAGTCAGATGCTCCAAAGATTCCACATCAAGATCCTTTCCTTGCCCCTATAAGAACTAATGACTTTAGAACTTCTCATTACAACAATTAAAAGCCCTGTGTCATCTTCTTCTAGGACTTAAACAATCAACAGACCAATCCTGTTTCAGAAGCATTCAAAAGAGGTGTTTAACTGGATCAGTGTCGCACTCAACCAAAACCTAAGCCAAACAACTATAAAGAAGGACTCAGGAAGGCTAGCAGCACTGAAATGGTAAAGATAGCATTTTGTGGCTGTGAAGACATTAAAGCCTCACAAATACTCATCAAGCATGAGAGGACCTTGAGTGGTATCATGAGAGCAGCACTATCTGACAGATGATTTTGATTGACGGTAAGAGGAGTCTGACCACAAAATTGTCCTGAGGACAGAAAAGTGAAAATGTGAACTGCATTTGGAGTCAAGACATCTGTATCAGAGGGTAATGTATTGAGCTGGAAATAGTGAGGAAGGGTAACAACTACGAGGATGGTGGGGAGGAGCGGAGGGAATCAATTCTTCCTTCAACAATAGAATCAGCACCAACACACTTAAAAGTTTTGCTTTATCTCCTTCTAGTGTGCAATTCTGGAGTTTATCAGCATGATCTTTGTGCTCAGGAAAGTCATCGGGATTAGTAACTAAAGCAACTCAACAAAGGCTTACATTTCAATTATTTTAAAACTTGGTCGAGCAAATTCCAGAGTGTGAACTTGTGGATGAGAAATGTTTGGTAAGGCAGAACATCAGTTTTGCCCAAGACATCTCATCCTTGATCAGGCTAATATACATCCTGCAATGAGAAAATGAAAATGTGTGTGTGTGTTAAAAGTGCACTTCAAGATACTAGTATTATTATTTTCTCATATACTCGTAGATATAGGACCAAGGGAGGCAGGAGCTGACCAATGCTTCAACACAGCCCCTTCTCCCGGGTGACAAATCTTTCCCGTTATTAATAAAATTATTGTCTTAATCACAAAAATAAATATCATTTTGAATATATGTATAGTAAACATGTTATTTTTTATAAGACATGCACCCCTCTCCACTCCCACCCCCAACTTAAAAAAAAAAAGAAAAAAGCAAAAAAAGACACACTACTCCACATCCCAACTTGAATCTCAACTCTGCAGGCTACTGGCATGTTATCCACATGTTTCAGACACTAAAGGGTTCACTTTGTTTGGGATGAACCCAAAAATACTACCTGGGGTACTTCCCTCGGAGAGTGGCATCTTTATAAGCACCTCCCTCTTTGGAGATAGAAGGAGATTCAGCTCAAACTAAGAGCTACAGGTAATAAAATAATAAAATAAAAGTGTGATTGTAAGTAGGACAGAGGAACCCATTACTGATTCTCATACTTCCTTCAATAATAAGTATGTAACTGGAACTGTTGAGAGAGAAGAATAGAAATAGCAACTATACATAAAGATGGAAGATAAATTGATCACAAAGAAAATGTGAACAATTAAGAATTTTGATTTCTCACAAATAAGATCAGCGTGGAACTTCAGTGTCTAAAACACAAAGCGAGGGCTTTGAAGCATGAAACTCAAAGGTCCCGTCAAGGTAAAGAACAGTTATAGTATAAATACATAGCAAATGTAACTCCATTAATTACATGGCACACTTAAGTGTTATCACACTACATGTGAATTTTTGCAGTATCGCAAAATTTCCTGGACCAAAATGTCCCACTTTTTGTCTTTAAATGATTCCAAGTAATAACTTCGCGGTTATATTGACTCTCTGTCTGTCTCCCTCTACAGTCAGCAACAATAACACTCTCCTCTTGCCCTGGCCAGGAATAGTGAATGCTGGAGCCGTCCTACACAATCTTCGATGCCTTTTAGAGTCAGAACCAAAGGATTCCCCCAAAAAAAATAGACCAAACATTGCTCACTCCCCCTCTTGTGACATCTGAAAGCCTATATATAAATGTGTAATTCTTGTGACTCCTACCAAAATTTACATAAAATGGCACTACACAAGTTGGAAGTAAAGCGTAGAAGGTCCCAGGGGCTGGAGAGAGAGAAAGGGAAAGAAAGATTGTTTTGCTAAAATAGTAGAAGAAAATCACACTATATGATCAGAATTTACATTAAATTTGCTTCATCATTCAAATTGCCAATTGCTTTTTGAAAAAAATCTCTCGTCTGCCCCAATTCACACATATGGAAACCAAGGTTTAAGAAACAACATTTACGTGTCCATAGGAACTTCCAACCAGTCAAGATCACAAATAAATGAATGTTCCAGTTCAACACTGCTTCTGCCATCACTTTAATGTCGATTACAAAAAAAATACTAATGATAATACTTAGAAGGAGAAGTGTACTTGGTTGCTAACATCACAATCAAAGGCACTTGATTCAACTTTAGGTAACCTAAATTTCCAAAGCTCTTGCTTGCTCTTTTTATTTTTAGGTGATTGAAGACACCATGCTTTTTATGCAAAATGAACAGCCTGGCCTAATATTCAAGCTTACAGCATAAAAAGAGTTATACATAATAACAAAAGAATGGAAGCCACTGAAGCCCTTGTCAAATGATGCAGGAGGGAACCTAAATTAATTATAAGAAAGAATGCTGTGATGCTAGAAACTAAGAATTCCTTGAATAGCAGAGAAAATATTAACACCAAAACCATACCGTGCAGCATACTCTGAAAAATGTTTCCCAGGTTGCCGTTGCCTCAGGGTATGCAGATCCCCTCCTGGACAATATTCCATGACTAAACATGAGAATCTATCTGTCTCAAAATGGGTGTACAAAGTCGGCAAGAATGGATGGTCCAGCAGCTGCAAAATCTCTCTTTCTGTCTGAGCCCTGGTCAACTTCTTCCTGCTTGCAAGGGATGCCTTGTCCATCACTTTCATTGCAAAGTAACAGCGCGTCCCACTCAACTCAGAGAGATACACGCTGCCGATGTCACCACAACCGAGCTGTTTGAGTAACCTAAAATGACTCATGCCCAAAAGGCCATCCCGTGCTCGGATGGCAAGAATAGCCTTCCATCTAGGATCATTCCCTTTGTGAGGTTTATTGGCACTCCCTGTAATATTACTCCAATTACTGTCATCACTAAGACCACTGCTATCACTTGCTCGGCTGGCACTTGTCTTTGCACTCTCAAGAGAATCCCCGCGAACACTCCCTTTTGTACTCTCACAATTCCTGTCCATACTAAGCATGCCATCACTCATGATCCCATCACTCCGATATGTACTGGTGCAGCTATTGACAATGCTCATAGCTGTTACCACACCAGTACTATCAATGCTACTGTGTGGACTTACATTGCCACTTGGAGGTAACGAAGCATCCCAAACACATTCCTTCTCCTCAGAATCTGGAGGAAGTAAGGTGTTTTCTGTGTTTTGTGATGGTTGGGGAACTGAAAACGGAGAAGAGACTGCCCCTAATTCATTTGGTTCTTCGACCAAGCTCTCTGCAGGTGAAAGAACAGATGGGCTAGGTTTGATGCCAGGAACCCGAATTGAAAGATCTTCTAGAAAAGGACCCTTCATTGACAAGCTCTTCACCAAGCATTTACCGTCTGACTTATTTTGACCAATTGGTACATACACTGGTCTCATTAGATCTGAATCGATGGGTTCTGGGGGATGACTAGCCCCAGAGAAAGAACTAGGGCCACCTTCCTCAAAAGAATCATCACTGCCCTTTAATGTAGCAACATCGGGCATAAGTTCCTCCTGCTCCAGCAAATATTCTTTTTTCCATCTTCTTAAGGGAGCAGGTGAGTCTGAATCTTGAGAATCCCGTGCAATTGATCGTCCTACATCTTCTCTTACTGAAGTTGTGCGAGCAATTGACACCTGACGAACAACAGGCAACTGCCTGGGATGCGCCTTTGACTCAGGAACTCTTTCCATCTCTGATCACTGTATATCATTACACAGAATTCATGCAGCGGAACAACCTGTAAAGGGTAGCAAATCCAATTTAATTGTAATCCCACTAAAGCATTTTCTTCAGTTACCATCTAACCAAACTTGTATACAGTAGGCTCAACTACACTTACGGTATGAACATTGATAATTCTAGTCTTATCAAGCATTATTCAACAGAGTTTTAACCCTCCCCAATATCATGGATAATTAAAGCAGCATTATTATCTTTTCTAGTGAACAATTTAATATGCACTCTGAATAATACAGGTACTAATCATCAGGGAAGATTTCTTTAAAAAAATGTATACAACAAAAGCTGTAAGTGTATCCAGTGATTGCTCAATACTCCATATGGTCACTGTGTTACCATAAGAAGAGAGAGAGGTGAAATCTAACACTAACAGCCACCTCAATCCAAAATTTGCACAGAATTATAAAAATGAAATGGAAACGATATATATATAAATATTTAGGAAAAAATGATATATATATATATATATATATATATATACAAAAAAAAAAAAAAAAAAAAAAAATCCAGGATAGCACATTTAGGAAAATTAATAGTGGTTCACAATAAACAGTTACCAAAATCGGGATTGTCCTGAGACTCTAATTTCATTTTCTTCATCAATTCCAGTAAGCACACAAGGTAACTTGTGTATCTATCTCTAATTACATACATACACTAATTACATACACACACACGCATGTATGCTATAAAAGAGTCTGAGCAGCAGATTGTTCTAATTTACACTAACCTGTGCGCATGAGACCTGGATGGAACTCCAAAAAGGCACCCAGTATAAAACCCTAATTTACAAAATTCTCAGTAACCTCACCAGATCAAGCAATAAAATGAATGAGCATCAACTTAAATCCCTAACTTCACTCGTAATCAAGTGAAAAACAGAGAGGTCGAGAGAAACAAGAACATAAACCAAATATATCAACGTAAAGGCTCCAAAAAAGCAAAAACCGCAAGCTCCAAAAAGCAAAATGCGAAATTCTCTACGTTACCATCACCTCACATTTCCAATCACTGACACAATTCCCCTGACTCCACGCAAAATCTTTCAACAAAATCAACGGTAATCAACAAATATAGAATCCAAAACCCAAAAAGAAAATCAGAAGAATCAAAGGATATTCTTAGAAATTGAGAAACAGAATCGAGTCATCACCAGTGAATAATAGGAATCCGAATAGATAAATCCTGATCTGGTCTCTGAAATGTGAATTTAGGGTTTTCTAGAGCTCCACCAAGTAGAGTAGTTCTCTTTTAGCTGAGCTTGAACTCGGTTCTCTTTCTCTTTCTAGTTTTACTCTCCGAGAGTTTGGAATTGTACAATGAAAAAGGAATAGAGAGATGGAGAGAGAGAGTGTTTTCAGTATTGATTGATAGAGCTGGAGCTCTTGTTCGATTTTCTCTCTCTAGAGCTTTCTCTCTCTAGGAGGAGGAGCTCTGCAAAGTCTGCAACTAAAGGTGGTTGTTTGTTGATTGCTTTTGCTTTTTCTCATATTTCTTTGTTACGAGACACTTTATTAGTCAAGTTTTAATAGTAGCAATAGTCGCAGTAATGAGAGTGCATTTTCTAGAGATAGAAAAAGAGTTTTATAGAGAGAGAAATGAGAGTGTATTTTCGTGAGAGTGTATTTTCGTGAGTGTGTGTGTGTGTGTGTGTGAGGGAAATGTGACTGACTGAGTTGATCGGCGAGGTGGTGATGGTGAGAAGCATTTGCTGGTGAATAGGCCTGGGGCCCACAGACAGTGTCAATGTTGGGCTGGGCCCACTAAATGGGGCCCACTTATGTTCCTTCTTTGGACTACACGTCTTTTCAGACGCCCTCTATTATCGATCCTATTCATTATTGTCCCGGGTCGGGTTTGGATTTGGTGATTGAGGAGTTTTGTTGCAAGTTACAACGCTACTTTAAGCGCGTGCATTTGGTGTTCAATTTGTGTGTGTGTGTGTTTTTTTTTTTTTTTAAATAAAATATTAGAAGAATTTGTATTTAATTCTCTGTCAATATACTTTTAAAATTAATGTTTTATTCTCTATTAATGTACTTCAAAATATATATATAATTCTCTACTAAGAGCACATTAATTTAAGAATTATTAATGTGCTCTTGATTTTTTTATTATCACGCCCCATAATAGGGTTCAAGCAAGTGTCCTCATTATAATATTGCTTTTTTGTTTTTTGTTATTATTAATTTTGTAATAGAATTTTGATTATTTATATTGAATAGTAACTAGGGTTGCAGATTCAACCTAACCTAAACATAATCAAACAAAAACTTTGGACGAGTTTGGATTTTTATTTTTTATTATAGTGTGAATTAAGTTTGAGTTAAAAATTCAATCCAACGTCAATTTGAGTTAGTTTGAATATGTTTGTCACGTAATCTAAATACTCCGTACATTATATATCATTAGCATCAATTTTATGAGATGTCCTACAAGGGACATATCATTATCATCATTATTATAGTAGATTTATTTGATGATTGTTTAAATGTTTAGTTTTGTATTAAGATTGTTATTATGTTTTAAATATTGTTTTAGGTTGGTATGTTATTTTTTTTTTTTTTTTTTTCTAATTGGTACTCACACATACATGTCTCTTCTGAGACTTGAACCACTGACCTCCCTTTGGGAAGTAAGAGACCACTGGCCCGTTAGTAATTTTTTATTTTTCTTTACATTGTAATTTGAAAAAAAAAAAAAAAAAAAAAAAAAAAAAACTATTTTTCATGATAAAACTCAATAAAGTTAACTCGAGCTTGAAAATCACATTGTAATTAATAATATATGTTTGGAAGTTCTCCACTAGCATTGATCATGACATGTTTGACAGTTATCTTTTATACATTTGGACTTCGCTTTATTTTAAGCATGTTTCTAATAATGAAGTACTTTTATGATAATTGTAAAGTCACGTGCTTTTGAAGGATTTTGGAGGTATTTTTATTAAACAAAAATAAATAATAATTAAAATTTTAAACTAAATTTACTCTAATTTAAAATATAATGAATTATGACAATCATTTAAAAATGCATTTTGCTAATTGAAGAATACCAAGCACTACCCAATGGATGGGCCAAAGGGATATCGTCTCAGCCACGCCTCTAAGTAGCGCGTTGGACGGGGCAGTAGTCCTGGCAGTTCCACGTCATCACACCTAAGTTTGTCTGGTGTTTACGAATGAAATGTTACAAATGCCCTTCCATTCGACAGCTTCCAACAAGAATATGAGCCTGGTAGATGAGGTTAAAATAGACTGCCAAGAAAAAGACGTGTGCGCGTGCACGCTCACTCAGTGTCCAACAAAGCACACGAGTAGCAGTAATAAAAAGGACAAAAGCGTCAATGTGAAGTGAAATACCAACGAGAGAGAATGGTGTATCAAAAACAATATACGAGTCAGGAGGCTCAGGGACTGGTCGGTTCTTCAGTTCCTTTGCCAGTGGTCCCTCTCCACGGAGGTGGCCACACGGTGCACAGGAAAGAATTCGGATCCCTCTAACATATTGGGTACGCCCGACCCATTATGCATCGGACTTATCCGAATCTTATGTGTTATGCAATTGCAAGTTGTGTATGTACTATTCAAATGAATTAGTGCATCGGGACTTGGTGCACGGAATATCTATTTCCTCTTTCACATCTTCTCTTTTCTTCCCGTGAACAAATCCCCTTTGGTCTCATTTCTTGTCTTGTGTTGTCACGTGTTTAATACAATAATTTTACGTGGTGAATACAATAAGCTATGTTTGAAAGTGCTGAATCGGTGTTCAGTGTCATCAATTAGATATTTTCAAATACAATATAACTTTAAATCGATAAATGTGGTGTTATATCATATGCACAATATCATCTAAATAAGAGAGAATTCATGTTCACCTCTCTCAATATAAATAAATATACCTACAATACTAAAAATAGTATAATTTAAATAATTAAGAGAGAAAAGAAAAATAATAATAACAACAATTTATCAGTTAACTTTTCTTATGTCTGAATAAATTAAGGACAAGACTTGTCTATTGATGAGTAAGTTATTCTTACTTACTGCTCACGTGGTCCAATCAGAAATGCACAAATAATTTATAATTATAAAATTAAGAAAATAATAAATAAGAACAATAATTTTTTTTTTTTTTTTTTGGAATAAATTCACGACTTTCCGTGATTTCCTTATTTATCACGTTGAATTTATTTCAAAAAAAAAAAAAAAAGTTATTATTCTTATTTATCACTTTTTTTAATTTTCTAATTATATTTTATTTGTGCATTTATGATCAGACCACATCAATAATAAATAGGAATAATTTACTTATTAGATAAGTCTTGTTCATAAATTAATAAAGAATAAAAATAAAAAGATAACCATATTGACAAGGATGGTCAAAATAAGAGAAAATAGGTGCGTGAACTATTGAAAAGAATGTCCACACCAAGAACCCCCATCTTTAGCTGTTAGATACAATGTGTGGATTCAACTATATATTGAAAGTGAGAGCTCACATAATTGGACTTGTAAAAGTCCCTTATAAATATCAATTTTACAAAGTAAATCTGAGCTACCACTTGGCATGTAAAAAGCTCATTCAAAATGATTGTAATATTGAACCTCCCCCAAAAAGACCTCCAAAACTCCCATTCGATGTATGCATACCCTTATCACTATTTGAAAGGGAGTACACTAAGATGAGACAAAATATTTTTTTTGCTCCTAGTGAGTGTGTGTGTGTGTGAAGATAATGGTTTTTTTGCTCCTAGTGTGTGTGTGGATGATGTGGACCATGATTAGCACACTTTTTACTGTTGGTGCCCACTAGCAATTAGACAAGTTGTCATGTGGATCTCCAATCCCATGAAATCCAAAACTTAGTGATTAAAATGATTAGCCCAATATTTTACTACTCATAACCTAAGTCACACCCACATTTCCAAAAAAAGAAGTGTTTTGTAATCTTTTGTGGGCCACTCCAATTCTCCCTTGCTTTTTGAAAAGGGCAAGCCTATGGTTTGAAAGTGTTAGGTGTGTAGTGTGTGAGTGTGTGAGAGAGAAAGAGAGTATTGGAATTAGCAAAAGGGAGGCATTCAAAGGTGGGCTCTTTCATGATTCCTTTCTCACTTGGTTTTGATCCCACTTGGGGCTTTTCAAGTGGGCATTCTCAGTCATTGCCTCCAACTCCTGCACTAAATAAGGAGCATAGTTTTACTTTTTCAATCTTTCTTTATATTAATTAATCACAATCAAAGATGCTAATCAGTTCCAAGTAAGTTCATAGGCATAGCATATATAGAGTACTTATGAGGCATTCAAAATGTCTAATCTCTTTTTAATGTATTTTTATCCTATAGTTTTTGAAATGGTCCTAACCCTAGTAATAACTTGTTAGCATCATTGAAAATGATTAAATCATATAGGTAAACAAAAACACATTTGGTAGAGCATTTAAAATGTTTCTTTAAAAGCTTTAATGAGAGTATTCATTTTCAATAAAATTATGGAGATGTTGTTTATGTTTTCAATAAACTCAAGTAAAAATATGTTATTAGTTGATGTAAACGTGATTGTTCTTAAATTCAACCTCTTTTTTACGTTTGACAATGATGAACCTCGTAAAGCATAAGAGACTCCAAATTTTTGTCTAAACTAATGGAGAACTGATATTGCCTAACATAATGTGCATTCACAATGAATGGTTAATATGAATCTTAGATCGGTCACTCTCATGCATCGTTATCATGGCCATTATCCTTACCTTTATCGGTCAAAGCAATGCCTTGACCACACATTGCCATTAGGCTGGCCCAATCCTGCCTTAACCTAAATTATGTGCCTAGCTCAGGAAGGGCAAACCTAGACATTCCAAGCCCGCCCAAACTCTATCATTTTCCAACAAAACAAGAGTCAATTAGTTCAATTATTATTATTATTTTACTTAATAATGATTCGATAAACATGATATTATGATTATCAATAATAGATCTATACAAGTGTCGTGTTGTCTAAGTGGTTAGGTTGCTCCTTGTGTGTCCAGAAACCGTGTTCGAGGCTTAAACCCTTCCCCCTCTAACCACTAACCCATAACCCCTAATTTCTTATCATGAAAAAATAATAAACCTACAATATTAAAAATTGATCTATCAATATAAGAACAAAAAATAAAGAAATAAAGTTTTACACTAAATCCCATTCAAAATAGAACAATAAGTTATTTCTCAGATACAATCTCTAACAAAATGACGCCAACGTTCTCTTCCACTCAAAATGTTAATGCAATGAACGTCTTTTAAAGATGAGCTTATAACCAAAAAGGGGTCCAGAAAGTTCTATGCTAGACAAGTAAATTATAAGCCAGTGATACTCAAACCGAATAGTCTAAGCAGTATTCAAAGACCGAAGCCATCACATGCTTTATTTTGCTACTCAAATGGGTCCCAAAAAAAAAAAATATTCAATAGCTGAGAAGCCCTTCTGTCAGATGAATCTGGCAAGGCTACTCGGTTGATAAATCATTTTCCTTACAAAAATTGCTTAGCACTTCAAGGGCAAGTTAGATACATCTGAGTAAAGAATCAGACCATACTGCTAAATAAATAAATGTGTGTGTGTATCAATCATGGCTTCTAATTAACAAGAAACTCTTCAAAGACCTCTAAAAGCAGCAATGAATGATTGACATGGGTCTCTCTCAATCTATTGCAAACCTCCGTGACAAATCCCCTATAAGAACATGTAGTCCATGTTCATATCTTTCAGCTATAGATATGAAAACAAATTAATACCAGAAAAATACACACAGATCATGTACACAGCAAAAGGGCTTGTATTACCCAAAATATCTCACCTACCCAAAATATCTCAATGTTCACAAAATTGATCATTAAACCAAAAACTACTCCAACTGTATGTTTACAGAGAAGATCAATACCATCAACAAACAATGCAGACCAAGGACCACAAGATGAAAGTGAAACCCAGTCCTCAGTTCCTTCACAGTTCGACAAAGAACAAGCCTTCAATTTGGATCTAACCAATATGATGATCCTGAACTAGACAATTCAAAATTTTAATGTAAAAACTAAATCAGATAACAGTGAGCATTACAAGCCCACATATGAGAATCCATGAATTTCAAAATGGAGTTTATTCAAACAAAATTTTCGTAAAGCTTATTAATATAACCAAAACAACATTCAAAATGCTTCAAAACATGGCAATTGAAATGCCAGAAAACTGTTGAGGTCGAGATTTCATGCTTTAAAACAGCATCCAAAAAAATAGCATGGACAATGATCAGAAAGGTAGAAGAAGATTGTTGGTGCTGAAAAATAGTCATGGACAATGATTGAAATAGTCTGTAGTTTTGCATTGTGGGCAATGAAAAGCCTCTTTTGTCAAGACAGATCTCAATGTAAAAATATTCCATTCATGAGATAGGTTGGGAAGAGAGCATAAGAATGACCGGCGATTTTGTGAAAGAAAGTCATTTTTGTTAAAAACAAAAATGTAAAATATTTTATACTAATAAAATATTTAACTTTCACGAAATTTCTGTGAGGACCAAACACCGGAAAATGTGGAAAATATTTCTGGTAAATAGATTACACCAAAACAAACAGAGCACATAAGCCTAATTTACAACACCATAAAATAACAAAAAATATATCTATCTTGATTTAAACAAAATGGAACCAGGGTATGGTTTGATGTAGTTCTGAACTCCATTAGTTCAAAAATAACTGGACGACAGAAGAGTTTGGTTTCACTTGAGAAAAGTACAAGCAAGAAATAAGAAAACATAAGCCACCAGTGATGTTAGAAGTTCAAGTGTCCAAGTTGGATGTAATAGAAATGAAGGGATCGTAGGAACCAAGAAAGAGCCACAAATCCAGCCAACAACAAGAGCTCCAAATCTGCAATGTAAGGAGACAAACCTTTTTAAGTCAAAAAGAAACAAAGAAAAGGAAGAGGAGGAGCGAATGTGTGGAGGATGGGGAGTAGAACAAGAGTTTCATCTCCTCATACAAACTTACCCAATAATGGAAGCTCTGGCTAAGCTCTTTGTCTTGTCATTAAGGAAGTATATGCAAGCTCCCAAAGATAGAAACACCTGAACAGAAGGAAAAAACAGAAGGGAAAAGAAAGGTTACAACCACCTAAATAGAAAACGAGTAAAGGTAAAAGGAAGGATCTAAAAAAATATAAGTATATGATATGTTCCATATATTATTTTTCCGTGTAGATGCAGAGATCAATTACATATAAGAATGGCCTAAAATTGGGGGCATTTAACATGTTCAAAAGGGTTAGTTTATGATATATTGTAGGCTTTTTCCTTATGCCATCATATTATGAAACCTCACCAGGCTTCTAAGGTCATCAAATAAGATTGCTCATTCCATTTATCAAACAGAGATTTAACAACTAGTTCATCCAATGAAAGACGAATGATCAAAACTTCAGCCATAGCCATCTCCTACTGGTGTACTTCATGGGTTCCAAACAATCACTTATGCTATGTTTGGTTGGAGGGAAGGATTGGGACGGGATGGATGAAACTTTTCGTGTTTGGTTGGAGGGAAGGAAAGAGAGGGAGGAAGCAAGGAGGGATAAGCATCCCTCCTTTCTTCATATTTTTCTATCCACCCAATTTTGGGGGGAAGGGAGGAGAGAGAAAGTGAATAACTACCTACAAATATACAATTTACAATATTAACCTTTTCAAAAAAATTCAAATGAATATCTACCTTTTATTATTTTATACAGTGAGGGTATATTGGTAAAAAAATATAAAAACTCTCTTTCCTTCCTTCCAACCAAACAAAAAAATAAATATCACCCCATCCATCCCTTCTACTATCCATTCCATTCAACCAAACAAAAAATGGGGGAGACACATTCCCTTCCCTAGGGATTCCTCAACCAAACAAAGACTTAACAACTAGTTCATCCAATGAAAGACGAATGATCAAAACTTCAGCCATAGCCATCTCCTATTGGTGTACTTCATGGGTTCCAAACAATCACTAAATTTCTGACATTCCAAGTGAAGGGCAATGTAAAACTCATATTCCTACATAAAAGGAAATTTGACACCCCTCAGAAGCAAATACAATTTCCTCCAAACTAGCTGAACATTTTTACCATGCAAATTTGCAAATAACTAAAGATCGTAAGACCAGCAGACATCCCCAAGTATCCGCGGTTGATTCTTTACTCTCTTATTTTTTGTTGATAAAGTTTGTCACGCTTAAGATGGATCTTATTTATGAGCAGAGCACTCTCAAGAAACACAACTAAATTTTTTGAAAAAGATTACTTGCCCTTTTACCGAAAAAATAAAAGAAATACAATTACAAACGAACTTTCCGAAAAGAACCCAAAAGAGCAAATAGAAATCCAAAATATGGCAAAAGGGCTATCCCCCTCCAATGCACCATCATAAAACATTTTTAAGAAAATAGTTTGCAGAAGGAAAACATGAAACCGCAGGTTAGCAGCTTTAATTATATTTTTCAATATGCAGTTATTTGGATGACCCCTATAGATTAAAAAGAGCACTAAAAAGGGTTTATAATTGAACATGAATTGAAGTTTGAACTAAACAATCTAGAAGGGTTTATAATTGGTGTCTATTTAAGTTGCCATTAAAAAAATGCACTTAAAATTCAAACAAAGATGTAGAAGAAACCTGAAAAGCAGGCCCACTTTCGGCAGAATTCATCACACTCCAGCCACCCATGAATGCAAATAGAAACAATCTTCTAAGAATTATCACAGCAGGAGGAACTTCCACAAAACTGAGCAAGGTCTTAACCCAAGGCGGAGACTCCTCTACTTTCTGTTTCAACCTGCTTTTTAAGTTGATTTTTGATTTCTTCCTTTTCCAGAAACTGGCCATCAGTATTTTTTCGAAGGCAGCTTCTATTGATTCTGCACTTGTTTCATGCCTAGCATATTGATCCAAGAGGAAGTTGCGGGAACCCCAAATTTCTTCCTCAGAAGCATCAGTACTTACACCAAGGCGCTTATAAGGATCCCAAACACGCATTCTAGGGAATTTCGAAACATTGCCTACATAAAACAAAATTAAACATTTAACATGAATCATTTTCTTCAATCAGTAGTTGCGCAGCAATATATTGCAAACCATGAGACAAGTCTGTTAATGTAGGTCTGTCAAGTCCAAATATCATGTGATATAAACAATCCATAGGATTCAATCAACTAGATCAGTTATGCCAATTGGATGCTTCGAACCAACAAGAAAGAAAAAGAAAGTAGTAAGAACTACTTAATATATACACTGTTTATTGTTGGAAAAGGAAATCCCAAGGAACACCTATTATGTTTTTTAAACCACTTTCTTTTGGAGCTATTGTAAATATGTAATCACAATAACATAAATTCAAAATTTTTAAGAGTAGCATCTGTAACTTTACATGGCTGCAATACCATTTATATGGAATAGAAAAGGAACAACCATCCTTTCTTAAAAATAAAAATAAAAAAAAAAACTATAATTAAGTTAATATTAACTCAATGCATGCCAAAGAAGAGAGTAATATAAAGGACCATGTAACCCGGCTCCCATCACAAAAAAAAAAAAAAACGGTTTTAGCTCAAATGTTAACCATAGAATTCAAAAAGACCCCAAAGATTTGGATCATGTAATCATTTTGGATAACACAGCTTTAATGCAAAGCCTGGGGTCCCAACTCGCATTCCATGGACTCATTTAAATGCGTGAAATGTGTCGGACACAACACTTGAGTATTTAAGATATACCTGACATGCATCTTCGACAAAAACCTTGCATGCATATATAATTAATCAAGTTCACTATATAATTGTAAGCAATGATACACATCTCGAAAATAAGACAACGTTTAAAACACGTTACCCCTCTTTCATCCCCTCTCTCTTCATATGTTACCCTCATCTCAAAACCCCAATTCTCTCTAAAACAATATGAAATAGACATGGTGTGATGAACAACAACGAATGCTGAAACTCTTTCAGGCTTCAGGTACTCAATCTAATTTGCATGTCAAGGTCATCAGTGTTCAATGGCTTCATATGGTTCCATCACACCCCCAAAAGTATGACACTGTTGTGGTTTGTGTGTATAAATTCTCTCTCATTATCGTTGATTTGTAAAGAACCATCATTTTCCTTTCATTCCATTCAAGTCTTTTATTTGAACTTTCTTTCTCTAAAAGTAGGAAACACGCAGGAGGATGAACAAGAAAAAGTGTCTGATGCCGTAAAGTACGAGTACCTCCATCGCTTAATTTCTCATATATTCGACTCCTACACCTCCAATCAATGGAGTAATTGAAACGATTGTATTGAGTTTGATTGTCTCGCCATCAGAGTTCAAGATTGTATTGAACTTTTTGAAACAATTGTTGTAATACCCCGTAATTTTAAAGAATGTATTTAAATTAATTTTGTGTTAGGTTAATTAATTTTATTTATTTGTGCATACTACATTATTTTATTAAATTCATTTAATTGTGCATGTAAATTAATTGTGTATGTTAAAATAGTAAATTTATTCATTTAATTGTGCATGTATTATTTTAATTACTTTTATTTGTTGATTATGTTTAATTAAGCAATATTAGTTAATTAGAGTATTATATTTGTGTTATAAAGTATTATGATAATATAATATATTATTTTGTAATAACAATAATAATAATTATATTAGTTTAATAATAATAATAATAAGAATATAATAATAATAATAATAAAAGTTTATTAATAATAATATTAGTAATAATAATAATAATAGTTATAATAAATCAATGTAATGATGGAAAATTAAATACTAGGATAGAATTTCATTTACTATGGTAGAATGGTGGATCAAATATCTTGATTAAAGATAGCATTGTCTTAAAGCCATATAGGTAGGAATATGAGAAATGGGTGAGAAGTTATTATAAATTAGATATTTGTAATATTTATATTATATATTTTGTGTATAAATTAACTAGCTTGCCTTAGAAAAAAAAAAATAAAAGGGAGTTAGAAGCAAAGTATAAATTCTAGAGAGCTATTTTATAAGAGTGAAAGGAAAAGAGAAAGAGAAAGAAGCTTGGACCGGTGTAGGCAATTTTACCCGACTACGCGCAGACCGACGGATTTATTTTAAATCCAAAAAGGCAAGTTATTATCTACTTTTCCCCTTTGAATTAATAAATTAATTGTTTAGCTTATTTTTATGCATAGAGCCAAGGTTTGGAGGTTAATAAATTATTAATTTTATTTTATTAAATTAATGGAATTTTAATTATATAGGATGGTATATATTTATTTAATGTCCTATGAAATTAATAATGGCTAAAAATAATTAAATAAGACTTTAGGGATTTTTCTAGAATTTTCTAGATTTTTCCGGGCATTTTCTGCAATTTCCGGCGACCTTCCGGCGAGTTTTCCGGTCGCCGGCAGTGGGGGAGACGACCGGAGTGATCCGGTGCGACGCGGCACACCATAGGAGGGTGTACGCGCGCATCTTGGCCATTAGTGGAGTCTGATTGATCCGGTGCATCGCGGTCCATGATACCGCGGTACACCCGGATCTGTGGGCGTTGGATGGAGGGAAGATAGGGTGAGATGATCCGGTGTGACGCGAGTACGGAATCCGGATGCAGCCAACCAACCAGGAAGTGACACGTCAGCAAGGCACCCTTAGTGCGCGCGTGGCAGCGCGTGCGCGCGCGTGGGAGCGCGTGGCTGATGCCAGACGCGCGTGGAGGCGCGTGGGAGAGTGGGGAAGGTTGGGCTGCGCGTGGGGAGGCTCTGGGAGGCGCGTGAGGGCGCGTGTGGGGTCCCTACAGCTGCTGGAAATTACCAGAATACCCTTAGGGCCTGTTTTGTAAATTCCAGAACCTTAAACTTGGATTTTTAGGTACTGTGTTGGTAATTACGGGTTTAACGGGCCACGAAATTATTATTTTAACACCCGTTACTTATTCTTATGGCCGATTAATCTTTTCTAAGCATTTATTGGCTCGTTCGCAGTACGGATACTAATGTGATTTATTTAACGACATTGTTAAATATAAATAGTGTTATTATCGTATTTAATGGTATCAAACATTACTGTTAAATTAAATAAGGCCATGGTTTTAGTCAGATAAATTATCCATGATATCTTATAGGATGTTTATACTGTTAATTGATATATAAACCATGATTATTATGCTGTGTGCATTTCAGGAAATAAATGGACTGTTTAATTATGTCGCATTTATATTATATGGATGTGTTGCCATATAGAACCATATGAGCTGGCTAATAAGTTTAGACTCATTTATACCTTATGCATTCGTTGCGATAGACAGATGTGTGGCTGTCGGGGTATGTGGTTTAATATTATTGGCATGTGTTGCCTAATTAACATACTCAGTATATTTATTAATATTGCCGGCATGTGTTGCCTAACTTATATGCTCAGTATATTCATCAGTACTTTGCGAGGTGTTATCACTGTGTAGTTCGTTATAGTCTGTGTTGTCAGTACCGTGCACCATGTATAATAGCTGATTTCCCGGGTGGGGAAAGGCGACACTTAACCACCTAGTGTGAGTCTAAGTGATCACCGTCTATTCTGGTTGAGGTCATGTTATACATGGGATAGTTCCCTTAGGATGTATACAGATATAGTACTCAACCGATTCATAATGATTAATTTATTTGATTCTCTGATTTGGGTCATAGTAGAGAGGACTTGCTCGTGGGGTTGACCCACCATTGTTGTTATTTCAGGATACGGTCAATACCCGTTCCAAGGTTGAGGTTAGCAGTGTGGGACCACCATCCGAACTCATCTACTCTTACGATCCAGTTCAGGGTAGAAGTTTTACGTATTACTTCAGTTTCAGTTTTTATTTACTTTTGACGTCGAACTCTCAGGTTTATATTTAGGGATCCTTGACATAGGATTTCCAAGTTGTAATGGAGGACTGTATTTAAATAAAGGATGGATGGATGTTGTATTATTTAATGTTTCTTTCCTGTCTAAATTCTTTTATTTCCATCACTTTGTATTCCATGCTTGTATATTGCCAATTGTTTTTTATATCCCTCGTTTTTCGTGTATAAGCCTGATCAACTTATGCGTGGAAAATGTGGGGGTGTTACCGAATTTCTGGATCTGCAACAGGAAGATCTGACTGTGGCTGAGTATGAACAGAAGTTCATAAATTTGTCATTATTTGCACCAGAGGAGGTCAATACGGAAGAAAAGAAGAGAGACCGCTTTGTGAAGGGGTTAATATGGCCGATTAAAGTGGTGATCTTAGGTAGTCCGGCATATACTACTTATATCCAGGTGGTTAATGCCGCCTTACAGCACTGCCAGATGAGAATTGATTACCGGAAGTCCAAGGGAGATAAACGGACTAACCGAGACTACCAGACAGTGGAGAAAGGAAGCAGCAGTGGTGCCAAGTCCAATGATCGGGGCAGATTTCAAGGACATCAACCTTGGAAGAAAAACAAAGGAAACCTAGATGTGCAGAGGGATGGAGTCCCTAATCAGGGTAGACAAGGTGGGATACCTCAGACCGGACAGGAACAGTGGTCGGGAAGTCAACAAAGGAGGCAGGCAGGTCCTTTTACGGGACGTTGTTATCACTGTAGAGAGATTGGGCATCCGGCCAAGATGTGTCCCAAAGCTAAACAGGGACAGTATGGGCAGCCGAGACCTAATCAGCCGTTACCTCTACCGGCCCCACCGATGCCACGTGGGCAAGTTCAGAATTTTTCGGCACTTCCAGCACCACCATTTCCTCCAGGACAACCTCCACAGCAGTTGCATCATGGCAGAGTTTATAACTTCATGCCACATAATGCGCAGGCTCCTCAGGCTATTGAGGGTATGTTTTCTATACATAGTAGAACTGCTCGTATACTGTTTGACACTGGTGCATCACATTCTTTTGTGTCTAGATCTTTTGTTATCTTATCTGGTATGACGACTCAGTTATGTGACCAACCTCTTAATATTTATACACCATTGGGAGTTGGCGCAATTTTACGAGAGTATAGCGGTGATA